GCGGCATGCACCTTTTACGAACTTTGTTAAGGAGGGATGTTGCTCCTATACTTATCGTTTGACTCCGCTTCTCACCATCATCGCCTTCGTGAGATGCTGCTCATAATCTATCGCTCAGTACCTACCATCTACGCGTCATCTACTGCTCGTCTTTTCGGCTGCTGTCTTTGTCAGTAGTGACTGCGCCTTTCCCCGCGTGCGCTGCTGGCAGTAACAGCGCACCCAATCGGCATCGGCCGCGTTGCTTGTTACGGCCTTCAGATTTTTGCTGGAGAAGCAAGGCAAGAACCATTTCAGGGGCGGATCACAGCGACGAAAAGCAGTAGAAATCGGAGTTGCAGCTCATTACTACGAGCAGAAAACGGACTTCAGTGAATAATCAGATGCGAAGTCCTCTTTCCTTCAAGAGGGCACTCGAGTCGCTTAGTCCGGCGAAGGATTTCAGCTTGAAGCGTCTTGAGCAGAAGCCTATATGCCAAAGGCAAACCATCAAACCTTCAAGTGCCACGTCAGCAGCGAACCTTCAAGTGCACCGCACACCCATTAAAACCTTCAAGCGGCGGAGCTTGCGTTCAGAAATCAACGACTCGCCGACTTCAGCATCGACCTGCTGCGATCCCAGCAACGACTCCTGCGACAATCTGCAGCGACGACTCGACGATGGGTCCCTTCGCGCGACTCCCCGACGATGTGCTGCTCGCGATCCTCTCGCGCGTGGGAAGCGCGGCACGCGACGTCATCCGGGTCGCGATGACGTGTCGGCGGTGGAATTACGTGACGCGGAATGTGCCTGCCCTGTGCCTGGGATTGAATGGCGGAGGCGCGGCTGCTAACCATGTGCCGTACTTAACTTTTGAGGTGAGTGTTGGGCTTCAGCCAGATGGTGCCATGTCTGTGACCTGTAATTTTGTGTCTGTATTATATTTTTAATACTTTCCGCCCTTCCTTTTTGTGTTTTCTTTTGCACGGAAAATGTCTATTCTCCTTTTTTCCGCCCTCTATTCCCCTTTCTCCGCCCTCACTTCTCCACACACATCAGTGTCAAGCCTCACGGATGATCCTCCGCACGCAAGGCCTACGCCAGCTGACCATCATCAAGCGGACCCAGCCAGACGGCGTCAAGCGGATGTCACGAAACCCCTGGCAGCGGAGGTCCCGTTCACAGTAAACATTCCGCTCCTCCAAGCCGCGAGCCTTCCCCTTTCTGCAGGCGTCCCTCTTATTTGACTGAGTCAGCCGCGGAACTTCCGGCCTGCGCAAGTTGCTGCTCCTGCAGCCAGCACGAGAGCGCCAGCGACGCTTCTGCGCCGCTTCCCCAGCCCCACCATCCGCGGGAGTTTATCTTTGAGGCGTGGATGCGCCACGTCGGGCTGTCGCTGCACTCTCTCACCCTCTCACGCGCTCTACCTGCCACGAATTTCGCGAAGCGCCCACGCGGCAACAGCACATGCGGCCGCGGCGGGAACGTGGTGGTGAACCTGTAGGAGGAGGAGGACGCGAGTCTGCATCTCGCACACATTTCCCGCCACTGCACCCACCTGCGTTCGCTCTCATTGGGCCACGTGTCCCTCTCCGCGCTGACCCTGCTCGCCTCTCTCCAGCCTATGCTGGCCCTGCAACACCTCTCGTTCTCGTGGCTGCACGCGTCCCCTGCCGCGCTTCACGCCGTGCTTGACGCCACGCCGAACCTCCGCCACCTCACGATTTTCATGGCGTCGGAATTTCCTTACCTAGAACTACGCGTTCCCCAGTCCCTGCAGCACCTCTCGCTCTCCTACATTCACTCTGCGCTTCACTCCGCGCGCTTCACCCAGTCCCTCTCTCTCCGCGACATGTTTCAAGTCAGTCGCGCTTCACTCCGCGCGCTCCCTCCAGTCCCTCTCTCTCCGCGACATGTTTCTCAGCGCGCTGTCCATCCTGCGCCAACTCGCCGTCGCCACCGCCAACAACCTGCGCCAACAACCTGCTACTCTCCGCGCCTCACTCCAACCGGCTCGCGCCGATCGACTTCCGCGCGGGCTCACTAAATTGGCCTGCCACCGAAACCCTAATTTCGTCCAATTCGGCTGTGCTCGAGTCGCTCTCCCTCGATTATTTTGCCACCAGCGACGCACCTGGCCTGCCCTTGGTTTCGTCGCTGCCCTGGCTCGCGCGGAACTGCCCGGGGTTGAAAAGCTTGCGGTTGGGTGCACTGGCTTGGCAGAATATGGTTGACTCAGCTGGAGTGTCGGGGCTTCTACAGTCACAATGGCAAACTGATACAGATGGTACACTTTATAATGGCTATTTATGGCCTCAGTTAGAAGCCTTTACAGTGAGAATCGCTGAAAGGGCATCCGAAGGCCTGCTTCTGCTTCATTTGATACTCTCTAACACCCCCACACTAGCGGGTCTTTATGTGACTGTAGAGGGGGAAGAGGAGGACGACGAAGAAGAGGAAATAGATATGGATGGATTGTGATGCTACAAGCATATATGAGCATGAGGAGGAAGATGAGGGGGGATACTACACTGAGGGGGAGACAAACTACTTCTCAGATTCGTCTGTTCCACTTTCTGCCGCACCTGCCTTGTTTCGTCTAATTGAGCCTGACACTGCACTGGCCAGATTAACTCAGCCGGTCGGTTACTGCTTAGCACTGACTCCAGCCGAGAGACAGCACCAGCTGTTTATGAAGGGCCTCGACTGCCTTCAGAGGCGGTTTGGATGCTTCTAAGTAACCTCCCATTTGCTTTACAGGATGAAGGTTTATTGAAGCTGAGAAGAGCTGGAGGCCACCATTCTGTGATTTTGATGTTTGTCAAGTGCCAATCACAGTAGAACTTGTTTAGAGCTGGCTGGCATACGGCTCCCCAATCAATGCTGGAGGTACCATATCAGTTGGCGAATATAAAAATAGCTTCTGCACTGGACACGAACCGCAATCTTTATGTGAGTCACCTTATACCGAGGTATTGTTGCACTGAGGTAGTTTTGCACGCATTCAATGCACACAAAAAATCCCCAACTCTGGTGACATGCTGGTCAGGTTTTGACGCGCTTCGAACTCTCAAATGCCTGTCAACCGTTCAGTTTTTTTCTTTCGTGTTCCAAGTGGCGTTTCCGCATTCCACGGCGCACAATTCTTGCCAAATTGCGAAGGGAAATGCGGCTCGTGGCAGAATCCTACGGCAGATTATGTCTACGTACAACCTGACCCAACCCAAGCAATTCAGCGCCAATTCCATTGGACTAGAGAAATTGAGGGCCAATTCCATTGGCTGCTTTTATGTACCTCAATCAGCACACAACGAACGAACGTACTGTACAGTACCACACCAACCGCAGAGAGGTGTGAAGGACGGAAAAGGGCCAGCAGAGACGTTGTTATTCCGCGCCTCATGAACTAGCCCTTGTAAACTTGTTTTGTGCCGTTATTCCGCACCGTCACTCACACCGCACAAGGGCCAAACAGAAAAAACTCGAATCAGCTTCTAACAGCTGTCAGTACTACAGCATACAGCCTGGCGTTGGTCAGTCCTACGCTGTGAGGAATCTTCAGCAGATTTGATCGGCCTGCTGTTTCGTGTGAAAAGAAACGCTGTTGTAGGCGATATTACATGTTTTGTTTTCTTTTAGTCTTCGACGATGATATTTCCCTTCCTCTCGCTTGTGAACTATAGAAAGGTTCATATGGTCACTGCGTTTAGGCGCTGCTCGCCGAGCTCCGTTGTTGCGCCTTATTGCCGCCAAACCAATTTCATTCACAGTGAATCTTCCCCCCGCCGGCATCCTTAGCCAAGCGTGACACCCCCTGTGGGCCCCGAATGTAGATCATTCCCTTGTCCTCTACGAATCCGGGGTGCTGCCAGGCATGGATCTGTGATCCCCGAGAGACAACATGACATTGCAGGGCGAGAGGGCTTGGGCGTGCCGTGAGCACGCGATTGTGAGGCCAAGTATTGCGCTGACGGATGTGGAGCCACGTGGTGGGTCGAAAAATGCTTGATCGGCTGTTGAATGATGACTGTACAGTCACGTGGCACAGAGACTGTGGAAGCGGCGCCAGGTCGTCTTTCGACAGGAACCGTCAATCGAAGTTCTGACGGAACTCTGTACTCCGTACTCGATTTGGTTTTGGATTTGGTATTAATGACTAATTGACGGCGCGACGGTTGCTCGAATGCTAACGCGCCGCACTTCCCGCGCTGCCCCTTCCAGCCGTTCGTTTATTCCTGAGTCACTTCGCGCGAAGTTTCCGAAAGTGGCACGCCAGGTCACTTCTTGTATGCAGCTGCCTTAGGGGGGGCGGAGTGCAACCTCTCTTCCGAAAGGACGGGTGCTGCTCTTGTTATGAACTTCAAGTTCATTTTAGCGATAATTTATCGCTTCTCGCCACCATCATATGATTCGGTTGTCTTAGTTGCACTTAACTGAGGTGACGTCTATAACACCTCGCTACCCACTGGGTCAAAACGAGGGTGTTATTTGGCGCAGCGGAATGCCCATTAACACTTAGCCCACAGGCGTTACACTCGTCCCCCCCTGGTGTCAACGTCCCCGTTGACGAACTTCAGGGAGTCGGCCCCCGCAGGGACCTGTTCGCTGTGCTCCAAGCAGCGACTTCGCTGGTGGACCAGGCCAGCGGAGGATCGTTCACTAGGTTCAGTCAGGTTTCCACATTCAAGTTCTCGCCACAGGCGGAAGATGTGGATCAACCAGGATTTGAACCCTAGGCTCTGATTCCAGTATAACACCTCGCCTACCCACTGGGTCAAAACGAGGGTGTTATTTGGCGCAGCGGAATGCCCATTAACACTTAGCCCACAGGCGTTACAACGTCCAAGGAAACTTCAAAGTTCGGAGACGACTGCGGGGGTTCTCACATCCCACTTGCTTCCGCTCCTCGCGATCCTTTGTCACTTGCGCTGCTTCCGCTGCTCGCTGCTCCCGCTGCTCTTGTCAGTTGCGATCCCCAGCAGGTGAAGCCCCAGCGACAATCAGCAGCGACGACTCATCGATGGATCCCTTCGTGCGTCTCCCGGACGATCTGCTTCTCGCGATCCTTTCGCGCGTGGGCAGCGCGGCGCGTGACGTCACCCGGGCCGCGATGACGTGTCGGCAGTGGAATGAAGTGACGCGGAACGCGCCTGCGCTGTCCCTGGGATCGAGCGGCGGCGGCGCTGCTGCTAACCAAGCGACGTACTTAACGTTTGAGGTGAGTGTTGGGCCTCAGCCAGACTGTGCCATGGCTGACCTAGAATTCTGCGTCTGTGTTTAATCTCCTTCGTTCTGGCTTTTGTTTTCGTTTTTCCTCTGTCGCTCACTGTCCGCCCTCAATTCCCCCACCTCCCCACTCCCACATCAGCGCCGGGCCTCGCAAATGATCCTCTGCACCTGAGCCTGCGCGGAGAATACTTTCTTTCCTCTGCCACTCACTTTTCCGCCCACTATCCCCCCCTCTCCCCTCTCCCCACTCCCGCATCAGCGCCGGGCCTCGCAAATGATCCTCTGCACCTGAGCCTGCGCGGAGAATACTTTCTTTCCTCTGCCACTCACTTTTCCGCCCACTATCCCCCCCTCTCCCCTCTCCCCACTCCCACATCAGCGCCAGGCCTCGCGAATGATCCTCCGCACGCGCGCCCTGCGCCACCTCACCGTCATCTCCCCTCCCGCACCGCCTGCCAACGTTGGAGGGCCGTGCTGCCCCCCCAGCCAGACGCCGTCAAGCGGATGTCACAAAAACTCCAGCGAACGTCCCAGTCCCACTGGCAGCGCACGTCCCAGTCAGCGCACCGACTGCGCCGCTGGCGCTTCTGCGCCGCTCCCCCAGCCCCGCCATCCGCGGGAGTTTATCTTCGAGGCGTGGATGCGCCACGTTGGATCGTCTCTGCACTCTCTCACTCTCTCCCGCACAATTCCCGATGTTACTTCCCTGAAGCGCCCTCGAGGCGGTTGCGCCAGCAGCACCAGCGGTGGCAACAGCAGAGGCGGCGACGGCGACGGGAGCATGGTGGTGAACCTGTGGGAGGAGGAGGACGCGAGTCTGCATCTCGCGCACATTTCCCGCCACTGCACCAACCTGCACTCGCTCTCATTGGGCCACGTGTCCCTCTCCGCGCCGACCCTTCTCTCCACCCTCAAGCCCATGCCGGCCCTGCAGCACCTCTCTCTCTCGTGGCTTCATGCATCTCCTGCCGCGCTTCAAGCTGTGCTGGAAGCAACTCCGAACCTCCGCCAGCTCACAATTTTCATGGCGTCGGGTTTCCCTCACCTAGAACTGCGGCTTCCCCCGTCCCTGCAGCACCTATCACTCTCCTACATTCGTGCGGACTCCGTAACGCTTTACTCCGCGTGCTCTCTCCAATTTGTCTCTCACCGCGACATGTTTCTCGGCGCACTATCCATCCGTGACGCGCCGAACCTGCGCCAACTCTCCGTTGCCTCGGCCAACAGCCTGCTCGTCTCCGCGCCTCACTCCAGCCGGCTCGAATCGATCAACCTCCGCGCGGGCTCGCTCAACTGGCCTGCCACCGAAACCCTAATTTCGTCCAATTCGGCTGCGCTCAAGTCGCTCTCCCTCGATTTTTTTGCTACCAGCAGCTCGGGCCTGCCCTCGGTTTCGCCGCTGTCCTGGCTCACACGGAACTGTGAAAATAGTAGGTGTGGGGCCTAGGCTTAGTAGCCTAGGCCCACACTAGGAGATAGGTAAGTTCGAGTGGGTTTCTCCTAGGGGAGAGTATCGAGAAATTGGAAGAGAAGTGGTTTGACTAGCAAGAGTTGGGATACAAGTACATTGCCCTAAATTGGGTTGTACTCATTACAGAGTACCCCACTGCAGGCTAAACAGCAAATATATTCTAACACACCCCCATAGCCAAAGTGGGGTGTAATCAGCAGAGCAGGCAAAATAGTACAAGCTCAGGGTGGATCACAATGTCACCACACATTCTGAGCACAAGTTAAAGAAGCAATAGTTTAGAGTTAAGAATTATGAGCAAAGCTAGTGGTAGTCACAACGGGCAAGTGAGGAGGAGGAGAGAGAGTGAGGGGAGAGGAGATAGGAGGAGACGGCTGAAGCTGCAGACACACGGGCAACAGGAGGCAGACTGGCACAGCGGCTACCGGACAGCGCCCGGACTACAGGAGTAACAGGCCCCGCGGCTCAAGTAGCGGCAGACGGGCAACGGACCCACGGGCGGCTGGCGTAGAAGTCTAGCTCACTGGGCTACCGGGACAGCGCCCCGGACTACAGGTGCTGCGGACTACAGTACGGCAACTTCCATGCAGCTTCCCCAAACAGTCCCACCCCCCTGACACACACCCGCTGCTACACCGCTAGCTCCACTCCCACGCACCCCCCTTAAACCCTAAACCCCAGTCTCCCACACAACCACCCCCCTCAGCGACAGCTGCAGCAGTGGGAGACGACGGAGGAGGAGAAGGAAGGGGCGACACAAACGGAGCACCGCCACACCCGCAAACGGGGGGGGGGGGGGGGGGGGGGGGACAGTGCGCACGAGGGCGCAGACAGTAGCAGAGCGCACGGGGGCGCGAGCACGAGACACGGGCAGCAACAGGCACGGGCAGCACAGGCACGGGCAGCACAGGCACGGGCAGCACAGGCACGGGCAGCAACAGGCACAGGCAGCACAGGCACGGGCAGCACAGGCACGGGCAGCACAGGCACGGGCAGCACAGGCACGGGCAGCAACAGGCACGGGCAGCACGGGCACGGGCAGCACAGGCACGGGCAGCACAGGCACGGGCAGCACAGGCACGGGCAGCAACAGGCACGGGCAGCACAGGCACGGGCAGCAACAGGCACGGGCAGCACAGGCACGGGCAGCACAGGCACGGGCAGCAACAGGCACAGGCAGCACAGGCACGGGCAACACAGGCACGGGCAGCACAGGCACGGGCAGCACAGGCACGGGCAGCAACAGGCACGGGCAGCAAGGCACGGGCAGCACAGGCACGGGCAGCACAGGCACGGGCAGCACAGGCACGGGCAGCAACAGGCACGGGCAGCACAGGCACGGGCAGCACAGGCACGGGCAGCACAGGCACGGGCAGCACAGGCACGGGCAGCACAGGCACGGGCAGCACAGGCACGGGCAGCACAGGCACGGGCAGCAACAGGCACGGGCAGCACAGGCACGGGCAGCACAGGCACGGGCAGCAACAGGCACGGGCAGCACAGGCACGGGCAGCACAGGCACGGGCAGCACAGGCACGGGCAGCAACAGGCACGGGCAGCACAGGCACGGGCAGCACAGGCACGGGCAGCACAGGCACGGGCAGCAACAGGCACAGGCAGCACAGGCACGGGCAGCACAGGCACGGGCAGCACAGGCACGGGCAGCACAGGCACGGGCAGCACAGGCACGGGCAGCACAGGCACGGGCAGCACAGGCACGGGCAGCAACAGGCACGGGCAGCACAGGCACGGGCAGCACAGGCACGGGCAGCACAGGCACGGGCAGCATGGGCACGGGCAGCAACAGGCACAGGCAGCACAGGCACGGGCAGCACAGGCACGGGCAGCAACAGGCACAGGCAGCACAGGCACGGGCAGCACAGGCACGGGCAGCACAGGCACGGGCAGCACAGGCACGAGCAGCACAGGCACGGGCAGCACAGGCACGAGCAGCACAAGCACGGGCAGCACAGGCACGGGCAGCACAGGCACGGGCAGCACAGGCACGGGCAGCAACAGGCACGGGCAGCACAGGCACGGGCAGCACAGGCACGGGCAGCACAGGCACGGGCAGCAACAGGCACAGGCAGCACAGGCACGGGCAGCACAGGCACGGGCAGCACAAGCACGGGCAGCACAGGCACGGGCAGCACAGGCACGGGCAGCACAGACACGGGCAGCACAGGCACGGGCAGCAACAGGCACGGGCAGCACAGGCACGGGCAGCACAGGCACGGGCAGCACAGGCACGGGCAGCACAGGCACGGGCAGCAACAGGCACGGGCAGCACAGGCACGGGCAGCACAGGCACGGGCAGCAACAGGCACAGGCAGCACAGGCACGGGCAGCACAGGCACGGGCAGCACAGGCACGGGCAGCACAGGCACGAGCAGCACAGGCACGGGCAGCACAGGCACGGGCAGCACAAGCACGGGCAGCACAGGCACGGGCAGCACAGGCACGGGCAGCACAGGCACGGGCAGCAACAGGCACGGGCAGCAACAGGCACGGGCAGCACAGGCACGGGCAGCAACAGGCACAGGCAGCACAGGCACGGGCAGCACAGGCACGGGCAGCACAAGCACGGGCAGCAACAGGCAGGGCAGCACAGGGCAGCACAGGCAGGGCAGCACAGGGCAGCACAGGCAGGGCAGCACAGGGCAGCACAGGCAGGGCAGTACAGGGCAGCACAGGCAGGGCAGTACAGGGCAGCACAGGCAGGGCAGCACAGAGCGTACCGGGTCCAGGGGCGGCAGCTGCTGCAATCTCTGGCGGTGGCTGCTGCTGCAGGCTCTGGCGGCGGCTGCTGCTGCAGGCCTGGCGGCGGCTGCTGCTGCAGGGCGGCGGCTGCTGCTGCTGGGTGGCGGTGGCTGCTGCGGCAGAGCGGCGGCGGCTGCTGCTGTTGGATCGGTGGCGGCAGCTGCTGCAGGCTCTTGCGGCGGCTGCTGCTGCAGACTCTGGCGGTGGCTGCTGCTGCAGGCTCTGGCGGTGGCTGCTGCTGCAGGCTCTGGCGGCGGCTGCTGCTGCAGGCCTGGCGGCGGCTGCTGCTGCAGGGCGGCGGCGTCTGTTGCTGCAGGCCCGGCGGCGGCTGCTGCTGCAGGGCGGCGGCGTGTGTTGCTGCAGGCCCGGCGGCGGCTGCTGCTGCAGGGCGGCGGCGGCTGCTGCTGCAGGAACTGACGGCGCCCCGCGGGTCCCGCATGGGGCGTCGCGACGAGCAGGGGCGACGCCCCGCGGGTCCCGCACGGACGTCGCGACAAGTAGGGCGGCGCCGCGCGGGTCCCGCACGGACGTCGCGACGAGCAGGGGCGACGCCCCGCGGGTCCCGCACGGACGTCGCGACGAGCAGGGTGACGCCGCGCGGGTCCCGCACGGGCGTCGCGACGAGCAGCGGGGAGGGCAGCGCGCAGGCCCCCCGAGGGCGCTTCGAAGGACGGGAAAACCGCCGCGCGCCCCGAGCGCACGGCGGGATGAAAAACTCTGAAATCCTTAAAAAAAAATTCGCCGCGCGCTCCGCGCGCGGCAGGAAGAAGGACTGCAGCGGAAGCATAGGGGCCCACAGGCCAAGGTAGAACGGGCTCTGATAACATGTGAAAATAGTAGGTGTGGGGCCTAGGCTTAGTAGCCTAGGCCCACACTAGGAGATAGGTAAGTTCGAGTGGGTTTCTCCTAGGGGAGAGTATCGAGAAATTGGAAGAGAAGTGGTTTGACTAGCAAGAGTTGGGATACAAGTACATTGCCCTAAATTGGGTTGTACTCATTACAGAGTACCCCACTGCAGGCTAAACAGCAAATATATTCTAACAGGAACTGCCCGGGGTTGAAAACTTTGCGACTGGGTGCGCTGGCTTGGCTGCATATGGTAGACTCGGCTGTGGTGTCGGGTCTTCTACAGTCACCGGTAGAAAGTGAAGCATGTGGTACACATAATGATGGCTGTTTGTGGCCTCGGCTAGAAGTGCTTACAGTGAGAATTGCGGAGAAGACACCCGAAGGCCTGCTTCTGCTTCATTCCATTCTCTGTAACATCCCCACACTGACTGGCCTTCATGTGACTGTAGAGGGGGAGGACGAGGAAGAGGAGGAGGAAGAGGATGTGGATGAGAAGGAGTATGGAAATTGTGATGCTACTGGCATCAATGAGTATGAGGAGGAGGAGGAGGAGGAGGGATACCACATAGACAGGGAGACTAACTACTTTTCACACTCTCCTGCTCGACTTTCTGTCGCACGCGCCTTTTCTGATCAAACTGAGCCTAACACTGCACTGCCTATATTCACTCAGCCTGTGGGTTATGGCTTTGCACTGGCTGCAGCAGAGAGACAGCACCAGCTGTTTTTGAAGGGCCTGGATTGTCTACAGAGGCGGTTTGGATGCTTCCATGTACCCTCCCCTTGTCTTCACAGGAGGACGAATTATTGAAGCTGAGATGAGCTGCTGGTGGTGGCTACCCTTCCGGAAAATGAAGGAATTAAAAGGCCTAGAACCTGCTGGGCGCTTGAGCTTACATCAAGATAGAACTGGAAAACGAGCTGTCAGGTTGCACAATAAGAAAAACGGTGCTGGAGGCATTTCAGAAGTGCCACAAATAGATGGTAACACATATGGTGATATTCTTCTTGTCTTTATAGGCATATATTACTGTAATTCGGGCTTACACGCAGTACTCGTAATCTCCTTACCGTGTCCGCTCACGCAAACGCGTGTTTCTTTCCTGAGCTTGCTGTGTGGCTCACCCTGCAGCGTGGTTGGAGAAATTCAACAATTTGTTTGTGGAACTGCTGAACCCAACGAAACGCACAAGGACCGCAGAGAACCACTTCGTCACACGGAAAAAATCTTTTTGTGGAGATACTATTTAAGCGTCCAGCCCCAGTTGGGCCATTCATTCTCGACTGCCTAGCGGTGGCAAGCTTGAATTCACTGCCTACTTTTCCTCCCTTGCTCTACTTAGTAGCGAGCCATGGTTTCAATCTCGGTTGTTTGGTCGTTGTAACATCCGGCGTCCGTTAGACAGTCCGTACTCGTTTCAGTGGTTACCCTACTCAGTACGATTTTATTTGAAACTAGAACAGAGCGACAGGACCTCGGACGTCTTGTTAACGGTCTGAGTCCTGAAATCATCGTGGTTCCTGATATCTCAAAAAGCATCGATTGCCTACTAAACTCAAATAGTCAACCTTTTCCTGCAATGTCCGGCGAGCGAAGCGCAGACGCCGGGGAAGCCGTTCTCCTCCTCGCGCTGCCGCACGTGCGGCTCTTTAACGACCTCGTCTCCTTACAGCGCGTATCGCGCTCCCTTTACCGCACCATTCGCGACTCGCCCTGTTTCTGGCTGCGGTTCCACCATCTCCACGTGGAGCCTTTCCCAATCAGCCACCGCCACGTGTCCGCTTCCCTCAACGAAACCGCGGTTCCAAGAACCACCGGGGAAATTCGACCAATCGCAACGCGCGGTGCTGATTCTCAGCAACTTGCAGCGCTGCCTCGTTATAAGCTGGTGGAAGCGGCTCTTAAGGTGTACGCGCGGCGGTCCCAGGGGCAGCTGAGGGAGGTGATACTGGACGGGGAGGACGTGCGCGGCGATGTGATTATAACGGTGCTGGCAGGCTGCAAGCAGCTTGAGAAGGTGCGTGTGTGAGGAAGGTTTTTGGAAACCAGGAGGAAACCCCCTTTTGAGGCGCCTCAAAAATTCCGCCCGCTTTCTGACGCGGGGCGGGGGCGGGGTGAACGGTGCTGGCACGCTGCAGGCAGCTGGAGAAGGTGCGTGTGTGAGGGAGGAACGGTGCATGCGTCTTGCAACTCTGAACGTATTCCGTTCGCATTATGCGTGCAGGATTGATTTAGAGGCAAGATTGTTGCATTTTCTTCTCTTATCATGGAATCAATTCACCTTCACCCCCCCCCCCCCCCCCCCCCCACCCCCCCACTCCCCCTCCGGCCCCCCATTTCCGGCCCACCCCCTTCCTCCCCACTCACTCCCCCCGATTTTTCCCGTGCAATACGCTGTTCCGTGCAGCTTTCAGTGAGGATGTGCGCGCATGTAAGCTCGTCCCACATAGTCACACTCCTACAGTCACAGTGGGGCGCGCTGGCTGCGTGGACAGCATCATCATCAGCATCAGAGGCATCGTCATTGCCATCAGCAGAACTGGTATCGCCAGCAGCAGCAGCACCGTCGGCATCGTCACCCCTGCTTGCAGATTCCTTACCACAGTCACCTCCACGCATTCCACCCTCTTCCCTTGAATCTCCTCAGCCTACTGCTCTTGAATCTCGTCAGCCTAATCCCCTTGAATCGCCTCAAGCCCCCACAGCTGCAGCATCGGCTTCTACTCCCCGGCTGTGGCAGGTGCACATGGCAGGGACTGACTGCCCCTCTACAGACTTCCTCTTTATCCGTGACATGCTCAAGCATGCAGCTGCAAGCCTCCCTGCACCCAGACGTCGGGTCCCCGAACCTAGTCCCGCAGCTGCAGGTAGCTTCGGCAGCAGCACCACCATCAGCACCGGCAGCACGGCCCTCATTAGCACCTGTTCGCAGATCCTCACAGATCCCGTGATTCATAAGGCTGGCATGGCTAAAAGGTCCGGTTATTCAGGAAATCCTGGATGTGACTATAATGAAGGGCTGTCTTTTGCGCCTCTGGACGGAGAATCTGTGAGGGGCTCGGCGTCAGAGGGGCTGGTCCGGGCAGGGGAAGGCAGAAGTTTGGACGCGTTTCCGGGCAGGAGGTTGCAGATTGTTTCGATCTGCCCGTCGGTTCTGGACATTGATTTCTGCCCACGGTGTGCCAACATCCGGGCAGTTTTGGACTGCCCTACTAGCGTGCAGTGGCGACAGCATTTGGAGCGAGTGGCTGAGGATTCAACCTCCATTAAAGTGCAAGCGACCGTCCGGTCTCTTCTTAAACAGCAGGTATGCGGTGGCTGTTGTCTTACTAACTTGTTTTCTTGCTCACCTGTTGTTTTATCCCCTGTATTACTCACTTGTTGTCTCACTCGCTTCACCTGTTGTCACTCACTTGCTGTCACACTCACTTGCTGTCACACTCATGCTGTCTTACTACCTTGTTGTCCTACTCGTTGCCTTTCTCACCTTTTCTCGCTCACTTGTTATCTTACGTGCATGTTGTACTCACTGCATCCCTCGTTGCATTTTCTGCGGCTCCAGCACTTAGCAGATGTGCGTGCATGTGCACCAGATCAAAGCAGCACTGCTCCTAGCAGCACAACAGGGGTCTTAAACATGAGATTTAAGTTGCCCCATATGTCAGTCGACTCACATCCTCCCCTAATTTTCCCTCTCCCTCCTTGTGCCATCAGGCCTGTCGCGGCTGCCTGCGCTGCATTCCTCGCTGCATCTTCTGCGGCTCGTGCACCAAGCACACGTGCATGCCACTCGGTCAAATCCAAGCAGCCCAGCACCTTGCAGCACAGCAGGGGTCCCTTGGAGGGTCAGATCCGGGCGGCCAGATGTTGGAATCTAGTGACGGCATGGCTAGAGGGTTAGAAGACCCTGCACTGCATGGTTCGTCTCTTACTTCATCTCTCGGGGTTAGTTCTCATGAGGATGGGGTGGTCAATGTTGGCGAGAGGGAGGCGGTGGACTTGGCGCCGATGGGATGGGTGATGTGTGGGTGTACACTTTGTTCCAAGGAGCAGTGCACGTCGCGCATGCTGACGTGTGTGGGGTGCAACTGGCGGTGTTGCCCGTGGCACATTGACAAGTATGCGGAAATTGCGGTGTCTAGTGCTAGCTTTGTTTGTGAGATTTGCTCCCACCAGGATAGAGACCCGGTTTATGATTTGTAAGAGGCATCATTAGTTTGTGTGTTTTGCCCTATTGTAAGGAATTTTCTCGGCATTCCTTACGGAGCCGACTACATCGCGTACAGCAACAGCCGTTGTTCGCCCGTTACTGCTAACGGGACTTCGCTGACTTCGCGCGCACTGTTTTGCCAAACCTCGCATTGCTGGCCTGGCCGTATCGGCCTACGCTTCGGGACTAGCCCGAGCCTCGCTCCAGCGTAGCACTAGCAAGCTCGCACGCACCGCGTTACCGTTTTGCATGTTTCGCGTATAAATGTTCGCTCATGCCTTCGCTCACATTTTGTACTCGTTGACACCTTAGTGCAATTCTCGCTACTTCGATTCATTGCACCCGTAACACTTGGTTATCAGAGCCCCTTTCTTTCGGACCGCGCATCTCCGCACACCAGGAAATCAACTTTTGATTTTTCACTCGAAGGGACTCACGCACCTTAGCCCCTAGGAGCCGCTGTCCTCGCGTTCTCTCGTAAACGCGTGCAGCCACGACTGCGCCTAGACTAAGACGAGCCGACGCCCTTCATCATGGCTGAAAATATCGACGTCACCACCCTCACGCAGGAGCGTTTGAACGATCTGCTGCGACAGCTGCGCGAAAGTTCCGAGGAAATCGCGGCATTGACGGCAGAACGCTCATCGCTGCAAAATGACCTCACGAGGGCACAACAAGCACAATCTCAAGCACCTGGCACTCCGATTCAACCTGCACCCTCGACATCACAACACGGGAGTGTGGGGCAACCCGCGAGCGCGACCAGTGATGGCGTCGTCCGCCCCGACGAGGACGATGACCATGGCACGACACACCACGGAGCGACGCATGCGGCCCCAAGTCAGCCTCGCGTCATGATTTCGGCACCAACCCACGATTCGGGACTGCCGTCACCGAGACCGCTGAAGCCGCAGCGCCCGCCATGTTTTGACCCGAGTCAACGGGGTGGTCCTACCGTTCAGGCGTGGTTGTTCACGATGAATGTTTTCTTCGACGCCTACTACGTCTCGGAGGACTCGGCGAAGATTCGATACGCCGTGTCGCTGCTACGAGGACCCGCCATGGACTGGTGGCGCGTCATCGTCACGAAGCCGACAGACTACGCGACACTACCGACACGGGAAGGACAAACCGGACCCTGGGCGCCGTCGTATTTCGTGGAGGTGCCCCAGTATCGCACGTGGGACGCGTGGTGCGCAGGTCTGCGCGCTCGATTTGAGCCAATTGCGGCTTCGATCGCGGCGCGACAGAAGCTCCGCACTTGGCGCCAACTCGGTTCCGTCCAAGACTACACGAGCGGATTTCTGGCGCTATGCGAACAGGTGGGCTACATGCATGAGAGCGAGCGCATCGACCGCTACATCGGCGGCCTGAAGCAGGACATCGCTCAGGAAATCCAGCTTCGCGGCGTCACCGAATTTCAGGAAATTCTCGCTATGGCGGAGAAGCTCGACTTCTTTCGCCGACCGAGACCGGGGTCCTACGGAAACAACAACTGGGGACATCGGCCTCGTGGGACGAACGAGAGCGCCACGATACGCGCCGTCGCCGCAAATGCCGCTGCCGCACCGTTCAAAGGGCGCTGCTTTGCGTGCAATCGGCCGGGACATCGCAAGAGCAAATGCCCGGAAAACGCTAAGGGAAAGGGGGAAGCTGAGCAGCAGACACAGACCAAGCAGCAGGGAAACGCTGGAAGTCAGTAGCAGACGGGCCCTCTACTGACAGGTCACGCCGCTCGCCCTGTCAGATGATTATATATTGCTGATGCATATATGTAGGCTGTAGTGGGGTAGCCCATAGGGGGTACAACCCAATTAGGGTTGGTACTTGTACTTCTTTCATTTCATAGTGCATCATTCCTCGCCTCTATCTCAACATGGTATCGAGCAAGTTCCCTAGTGGGAACTGTTCCTAGGGCCCACCTACTATTCCGTCCTGCCCGGAGCGCGCTCTGCCCTAGCCCGAGTCGCGCTGGGCCTTTTTTTTTTCCTTTGGCGGCCCGATCGCGTCGAGCCGCCCGCGATTTTTTGGCGCGCCACCTACGCGGCCTCGTCGCGCCGCCCCTAGACGGCCGCGCCGCGTCGCGCGTGCCGCCCTCCAGTCGCGCGCCGCCCCCTATGACCCTCGCGACGCCGGCGCCGTCTCTGACGGCCCCGCGATCGCCTGCGTCGGCCCCGCCGTCCCCTCTACCGGCCCCTCCGCTGCACTTGATGTCAACGGGAGTTGGGTATTGGCCCCGTCCTCGCTTGGGCGGAGCCGACTTCGTGGTCGGGTGTGAGGGGAGCAGCCGACCTGCAGCAGTGGGTGAGCTGGTCGACGAGGAGGTCGACCTGCACGGGGGACCACTGCACGGGCGCCAACTTCAGGGTGGCGCCGACTTCGGGGAGGTCGACTTGGGAGTCGACCTGCGGAGGACGTCGAAGCCGACTTCGGCGGTCGGCTAACGGACCGCTGGTCGACCTGCGGGTGGTCGACTGGACCTGGTGGTCGACGAAGGAGGGACCGACGTCGACCTTGACGCAGGACGCCGAGCAGTCGGGCTTCGAGTAGCGGGGCGTCAACTTCGTGACGCCAGCTTCGGGTGGCCGACGTGGGTGGTCGACCGACGACTGTGCTGGTCGACGAGGAGCAGGTCGACCAGGAGTACTGGTCGACGTGGAGCTGGTCGACCAGAGGGGACGTCGACCTGGAGGAGGTCGACGTGGAGGTGGTCGTCGACTTGGGAGGTCGACGGGCACAAACGGGAGCTGCTGGTCGACGTGGTTGCCTGGTCGACCAGGTTACCTGAGTGACGAAGTGCTGCGGAGGAGTGCGACGGTCGCCCAGGCGAAGTTGGCAAGCCCGACCTCGGTGGTGGTATCCCGAGGTCGACGTGGCCGATCAGAGGCAGTCGTCAGCTCGAGGTTGACGTGGTGTTGTGCGCTGTGCAGGTGACGAGATACTGCACGCCAATCATCTGCGCGCACCTGCGAAGCGGATGCATTGCTGTTCTGCGTGAGCAACGCTGTCACGCCGTCAACCTGCGACGTTGGCACGCCGTCGACCTTGCCTTGCTGGAGCGCGGTCGACCAAGCTGCGCTGGCAGTTGGCCGACCTGAATGCTTGCTCTGATGTAGTATTGCTATGCCAACTTCATTGTATCATTGTTGTCATGTTTTCCTAGTGAAACTCTTGCAAATTCTCCCCGTGAACTAGCAAGGAGCGTGAACACAAGGAAACGACTAAGTGAACGAACGCAGAGATCACACGAGCACACGTGCCTAGCCCGTAGCCTAGCTCCCGTTGCTGCAGTTATCTCCGCATGGTGCGGTGAGCATGGACGACACCGCGACGTAGTTCAGTCTAGCCGACTTAGCACATACCGATCGTGTTCGTAGACCGGCAGCCGTGCAGTCACTAGCGTGCGCGTAGGCGACGCCGAGGTGATGGATACCCTGGAGGGACGGCTGGAGGATGCGAGGAGACGCCATGAGGCCCAGGAGTATGGGGCGATACCCTGGGCAGTCGTCGAAGCCGGACTCCGCTCCGTGTGGGCGGCGGAGCACCCCCCTTCTCGACCTGTCTCTCCTCGACCGGTGAACAACGACGGCGGCGTCGACGTGGGTGTCAACGCCGGTGGAGGTCGGGTCGGCAGCAGTGCGGGAGGCACGTCGAGGCACCGAGGTGTGATACACGCCGGTGAAGTCGGCGGCGTTCAGACGCGAGGGGTGCAGTCGTCGGCAGCTGCAGGCTACTCGCAGGGCGACGTCGGAGGACGACGAAGCGGATTGTCGCCGATGTCAGCGTCCCAGGTGACAGCAGGTGGGATTGCGCCGAGCTACGGCTACTTCAAGTTTACGCCGGACAGGATCTCGGTCACCCCTCCGCTGGTCGGTCGACCTGACATTCTCACCTGGAAGGAAGCCATCGAGCCCCAGCTGGAGATGGCCGGGCTGATCGGCTTCGCCCGAGGGACCGTGGCGACGCCGGGGGAGCACCACCCCGACCTGCGTGCGGAGTTTCGCACCGTGCAGCTGTTGACCTTCACGGTCATCTCGCGGTGCTGCTCGCCTGGCGTGCAGATCGCCTTGAAGTGGTGCCGGGAGTACCTCGACGCCGGCCACCGGGCGTGGCACTTCATTGAGTCGACGTACCAGGTCACCGACGACCTGTTCATCGCCCAGCTGGAGGGACAGCTGACGCACCTGCGTATGGGCGACGAGGAGAGTGCGACCGACTACTGCAACCGAGCCAGGCGAATTCTCGCCACCATCAGGATGGCCGGCGCGCAGTACTCCACGGCGTCGTACATCACCCATGTCATGCAGGGACTCTCTAGCAGCTACAACCTACTGAAGCGGGTGTCTATGGCGCCGAGCACAAGGGCGACGCTCAACGAGGACAACTTGACCTCGTATATCCTGCAGGACGAGGCGATGCAGGAGGCTGAGCGGTCGCAGGAGCTCTTGGCGCAGGCGAACTTGGTCACCTCAGCGAAGCAAGGAGGCCGACCGGGGCAGCGCGGGCAGTCTGGCGGTGGCGGTAGCAGTGGCTGGAAGCCGGCCAAGGAGGTCGACAAGAGGAAGTCGACCAAGGACAGCGGTCGTGGTGGAGGAGGTCGACGTCGGGAATGCTGGCTGTGCGGCGACCCCGACCATCTCTCCTTCAAGTGTCCCAACCGCAGCGACTCCGACGACGACGATGCTAAGGGAGGCCGTGGGAGGTCTGGCAGCCGTCGTCCTCGTCGTGGAGGAAACCAGCCGCGCAAGGAGAAGCAGTCGACCAAGACATCGACTTCGGCGAAGGACGCCGACTCCTCTGCTGGCGGCAAGGGGCGAGACGACAAGACGGCGTCGTGCTCGCTGGTCGGCGTCGTGGAGCCGACCATCTCTCTGGCGCCGGAGGCCGGAGAGGACTTCCAGGCGGTGGCGGCAGCTGTGCAGGCGAACCCGGCGGTGGTCCTGCTCGACAGCGGTTGCTCCCACCACCTGATGGGGACGAAGGAAGCCTTCGT